CCACAGCTGCTCTCTGATAAGTTAGAGAATAAATCAGTAGTTGAGTTTATGCTGCTTTAGCACAAACAACATTTGCCTAAACCGTCACTGCTATAGATTAGGTGTATGACACACCGCCCCCCTTTCACTGTTTCACCCCTGATCTAAGATCTGCTTCTTAGATGGAAGTGATTGTACTCAATAAATAGTGTGGAGACCAGAGCTTGGCGCCTTTTGCAGCCTCCAAAAGTGCAGTGGGCCCCCTGGCACCCCACCCTTTAGGCACTGTTAACCTGTCTCTTCTCATTCCTTCGTCACCACTGGACTTTGGGTACCCTACGGGTGGTGTTGAGGCTGGTCCCAACACAAGGTGACAGCAGCCATCCCACTCCATTGGCAACCGTGGTGATAAGCACTGGTTTAAAATGGGCTGAATTGAAAGCTGTTACTCTTGCCTTAGTCCAGGGATTGGCAAACTTTTTCTATAAGCACCAAGTAGTAAATATTTTAGGCTTTATGGGCGATGTATAATCTCTGTTGCATATTCGTTTCTCCCTCTGTGTGTCTATGTGTCTGTGTGTCTATGTGTGCTTTAAAATGTTTTATACATGTAAAAAACCATTATTAACCCATTGGCTGTTTGAAACAGGCCAGGTATAGTGTGTGTGTGTGTGTGTGTGTGCGTGCGCACGCACACAGGTCAGATTTGGTCTGTGGGTTATAGTTTACCAACCCCTGCTGTATACAGTATTTCTAAAGGCCGGACATGTTACGTCTTCTGACTCTGGAGTTGTTGCCAATGTCTTAGCCACCTGTTCTGCCACTTGGAAGACTACAGACCAGCAGACTAAAGACATCTCTTTATAAGGCTGTGAATTCTGGAAATTCAATCACAGCTGTAAGGGAAACTTCTAAGTCCATTAGCAGCTGTGATTCATTGTTCATGTCGATGCTGATGGTAATGATGGCAGCGGTGGCCCATCTGGAGCTGCCACTGCTATCATGTGGGCTGCAGCGGGGAGGCACAGCTGGGGCTGCACACTCCACTAGATGGTCAGAGCTCGGACAAGTGGGAGCCCTGCCCCTTCCAAGTTGGTGGGTCAGGAGCTCCCCGGGTCCTGCTGCAGCCACCCAAGTCATGGCTGTGGACCCAGGTCTCCTGCTCCATGGGGCAGGCAGAAACCCCACCCTCCCAGGTGCAGCTGCAGCTGCCCAAGTCGTGGCTGCAGACCTGGGGGTGCCACTGCATGGAGGAGGCCAGAGCCCCACCCCACCAGGCATAGCTGCAGCCGCCCAAGCCGTGGCTGCAGACCCAGGCATCTCTGCACTCTTAGGGGCCTGGAAGGCACTCCCTGGCCTCACAGGCTTAGAAGTGCCTCCTCCTGCTGCCTGGCTTCTCCCTGCTGTCAGCACCCACTGCAATCTTAGAGCAAAGTTGAGGCCAAACCTAGGCACTGTCACAGCCTGGCTAGGTGTGTACATGCCTGGGGCAGTGCTGACACACGAGCCACCTGCCATAGCCCCCTCCAGACTTTGGGCACCGATGAGCATAGGAGGAAAGCTGAGGGGGTGCTGAGGGCAGGTTGGTACTGGCCTGCAGGTGCCCCTTGGCATAAGCAGCCTGGGCACCACGGATGGCAGCAGGAGGCAGACAGGCTCCTGGGCAGAAGGGGGGCAGGTCCTGGTGAGGCCCCACCTAGAGGCCAGGGAGGGACTGAAGGCTGGGGACTGGGCTACCAGTCCCAGGACCAGAGGAGGAACCTGTGGTGCCTTTTTGGGGCCTATTCACGGCCACCTGTGGAGTAATCAGCATGCACTTCTTCTCCTCTGTGGCCCATAAAAGCCCCAGGCTCAACCAGAGCAGGGCGGATGATGAGACAACCAGCGGCAGAGAGGAGCTATACCTTCTGCTGAGAACTGAAGACCATGGGATAACCAACTGCACAGAAGAGCTACCCTCTCTGCTGAGAGCTGAAGCAGATGATGGGATGACCTGCATGCAGAGAGGAGCTGCCTGCTGCAGGAGACTGAGCTGTTCTATTGCTCAATAAAGCTCTCTTTATCTTACTCACCCTTCATTTATCTGTGTGCCTCATTCTTCCTGGTTGCAGGACAAGAACTTAGGACCCACTAAATGGGAGGCTGAAAGAGCTGTAACACAAAACAGGACTGAAACATGCCCCTTGCTCACCACGTTGCAGGCAAAGAGAAGGAGAGAAGAGCTGTGGCCCTTCAGAGAGCCCAGACCTGGGAGCTCCCTGAGCCAGGGATACCAGGGCTATGACTCCCTCTTGTGGCCCCTGCAACTCCTGGTGTCTCCAAGCATCTGGATGCTACCACATTCCCCAGCTCCAGCCAGGGAAGCTGCCTGTAAGGCACCGGGTCCAGCCACAGCCTCGCAGAGAGCTGGCACCATGCTGGCACTGGGAGCTGCCCGCCCTGTGGCAGCAACTAGCATGTCTGACTGTGCAGTGGCTGGACCCCATGCTTGCTCACACACCCCTTGCAGTCTCCCTTGGAGGCATGGGATCCAGGCCAGTAGTGTGAGCTGAGTGCAGCCTGCCAGGCCGAGTGGGCAGAACGAGCTGAGGGTCCAAGCAAAACTCGGGCAAAGGTGCCAGCAGCCATGGGTTTCTGGTCAGAAAAGCAGCACTCCAAAGATCCCGTAACAGTAAGGACCCATTCTCGGATGTGACTGACTGGAATCAAGCTACTGATCAAATCTGCACAACCTTCATTGCTGTCATGGCCATCTGGATCCATCATTGCAACACACTGATTTTATGGCCATGCAAGGAGAGCAACCCTAGCATCTGGGGAGAGAACGCCACATGCTCATGAGGCACGGGGAGGGGAAAACAGTGCTCTGTTTGCCCCCCAGATTCAGCACTGCAGCCCGAATCAAGTAACAGCTGCTGCTGGCTTTGCGACCCCCAACCTACATGCTATGAAAACAGAGAAACTCATGTTTTTCTTTCTTATTTATGTATTTATTTATTTATTGTTTTTGAGATGGAGTCTCACTCTGTCAGCCACACTGGAGTGCAATGGTGCAATCTCAGCTCACTGCAACCTCCACCTCCCAGATTTAAGTGATTCTCCTGTCTCAGCCAACTGAGTAGCTGGGATTACAGGTGCGTGCCACCACACCCAGCTAATTTTTGTATTTTTAGTAGAGATGGGGTTTCACCATGTTGGTCAGGCTGGTCTTGAACTCCTGACCTTGTGATCCGCCTGCCTTGGCCTCCCAAAGTGCTGGGATTACAGGTGTGAGACATTGTGCCCGGCCGAAATATGTTTTTCTGATATGGCTGGTCCTGAACCACTCTGTTCTGCCTTATGCCATCAAACAGCGCCTTCCAAACATGGATCTTCCTCATATGTGCACAAACACATAGACTGATAGACATCTTGCTTTAATCGGACATAAAAATTTATGGCCGGGCACAGTGGCTCACACCTGTGATCCTAGCACTTTGGGAAACTGAGGTGGGTGGGTCACCTGAGCCCAGGAGCTCAAGACCAGCCTGGGCAACATGGTAAAACCATGCATTTTCTTTACAAAAAAAAATATAAAAATTAGCGGGGCATGGTAGTGCGTGCCTGTAGTCCCAGCTGCTTTGTGATGTACTTGAAGGCCTGATGGCTGGGGGTTGGGCTGCCAGATTCCCAGGCCAGGAATGGGGACTTGTGGTGCCTTTTCTGGGTGCCCATGGTCACCCATGGGCCAATCGGTATGCACTTCCTCCCTCTGGAGGTCCATAAAATCTATGGGCCCAGCCAGAGAAGGGCAGAGGATGGAGAGATGACTGAATGACCAGGTGAAAAGAGGAGCTACCCTCTCTGCGGAGACTGGGAAGATGACAGGATGAACAGCTGCAGAGAGGAGCTACTCTCTCCAGGGCCTCCTGTCTGCTGAGAGCTGCAGATGTTGGGACAACCAGCTGCAGAGAGGAGCTACCCTCTTTGCTGAGAGCTGAGCCTCAGGCAGGGTGACCTGCCTGCAGAGAGAAGCCTCCTCTCTGCTGAGAGCTGCAGAGATGATGGGACGACCTCCCTACAGAGATGAACCACCCATTCCAGGGCCTCCTTTCTGCTGAGGGCTGAACACTTGATGGGATGACCTGCCCCACAGAGAGGAGCTACCCACTGTGGGTCTCTTCTGAGCTGTTCTGTCACTTGATAGAGCTCCTCTTTGTCTTGCTCACACTCTGTCTGTCTGTGTACCTTTCTTCCTGGATGCAGGACAAGAACTCAGGCAAAAGTGCCAGCAGCCACAGGGGTTTCCAGCCAGAAAGATGACACCCCAAAGATCTCATAACAATAACAGAAGGAAAAAAAATAAAGAAAGGAATGGAAGAAATGTTTGAAACAATAATGACTGAGATTTTCCCCAAATTAATGTCAGACACCAAACCACAGATCCAGGAAGCTCAGAACATCAAGCAACATAAATGCCAACAAAGCGAGACCTCATCTCCTGAAAGGTCCTCACTTTCTGGGAGACACAGATCCCCTCCTGGAAGAGGCCCATGACCACATGGCAGGAGTTCCCTTCCAAGACTGCCAAGCACCTGTAGCAGTGCAGACCATGAGCTGTCTCCATGCACAGCGGGGCCACCAGCAGGACCAGGGCAAAGGTCTTCATGACATAGAAACTGCTCATTCTTTCTCTCTTGCCAGTCATTTAGTTTCAAGAAACTAAAATTTGTTCTTAGTTTTGTAACTTAAAAAAAACTACAAATAAGCCAGTGCAATTTCAGCAAACATGTTGTCTTAGTACATTTTCTGATGCTATAACAGAAGTGGATTGGATAATTTAAAAAGAACAGAGATGTATTTCTTATGGTTCTGGAGGCTGGGAACCATAAGATGTATTTCTTATGGTTCTTATGGTTCTGGAGGCTGGGAAGTCCAAGGTCCAGGAGTCCACGTCTGGCAAGGGCCTTCTTGCTGTGTCACCCCATGGCAGAATGCAGAAAGACAAGAGAGCCCATGTGCACGAGAGGGGAAAGGGGCCTGAACTCATCCTTTATAAGGATGTGACTCCGGTGATAATGAACCCACTCCTGCAATAACAGCATTAATCCACGTATGAGGGCAGAGGCCTTGTGACATAATCAGTTTTGAAGGGTCTCACCTCCCAACACTGTTGCATTGGAGATTGTTTCTACTACATGAACTTTGGGGGGTACATTCAAACCATAGCACATGTGTTTTCTGCTTCCAGTGTAAGAGAAGTTTAATAAGTCATATTTATAGTTAAAAACATCAGACACAGTGAAACCCCGTTTGTACTAAAAATACAAAAATTAGCCAGGCATGGTGACGCATGCCTGTAATCCTAGCTACTCAGGAGACTGAGGCAGGAGAATTGCTTGAACCTGGAGGCAGAGGTTGCAGTGAGCTGAGATCACTCCACTGCACTCCAGCCTGGGGGACAGAGTCAGACTCTGTCTCAACAACAACAACAACAACAACAACAATAAAATCAATGCAGTATAATTACCAAATATTAGATTCTAGAGTGATCTGTGACTCTGCTACCCCAGGACAGTCTAGATGAGGTCAGATCTTGACAGAGGGCTTTTTGGGTGGTAATCCTGCAGAAGGGTGGTGGGGAGGTGGAAAGGGGAGTAAGTGGGAGGGTGGTAGCAGCAGAGGGAAAGGAACAGAGACATGGAGAGAGACAGGGTTGCATGGTTACTCAGAGATGGGAAGGTATGAAACCCAGCACAGACTGCACATCTGGGTGGGACACGGACACCCAAACTCCATTCCCTACTCCCCCCTCCCACAGCCTGGACTGGAATCAGATCCTTACCTGGGCACAGATACTGGTGATAGGAGAGGACATGCAATTTGGCTTCATGCCTGGGACCCTGAACCTCACAACTGTCTGGTTCTGAGAGCCCAAAGACTCCAGGCAGCAGTGCTGGAAGCAGGGCCAGAAGGTGCAGCTGGAGCCACAGAGCCGGGTCTGGTTCAAGTCTAGGATGACACTGTCATCACAGCACTGCTCCAAGGGGTTGTAGATCAACTCCCCACACCTGCGTGCTGGCTGGCATAGCCACAGTCTAGGATCTGGAAGAGTCAGGGCTGGATGGGCTGCAAGGACCAGCCTAGGACCACCTCCCCACCAACCTTAGTGCCGTTCTCTCCTCCCTCACTGCATCTGTTCTCACCTGTGACTCCTTCTGAGTTTGAACCCAGAAGTCCAAAAATGAAGATGGCAACTGAGAAGCAGAAGGGAAGGGAGAGTGATTCTGAGGTCACTCAGTTCTGACCATGGGGCACAGGATGATGTCTCTAAGCTTCTTTGGTCGCTGTGACAGCTCACGGTGGATTTTGGGACTGGCTGTGGGTGCAGGTCCTGGGGACTGGGGTGGCAGGTGAGGAAAGGCAGGGAGGGCTCTGGGAAGAGTAAAGGCTTCTGGGATTTGCAGTTCAGGAGACAGATTACAATGCAGTCACAGATGACATAGCGGTGATTATGAGGTGGGACACCAATAATTAAATAGGGAAGAGAGAATTAACTTTGAAGTTCAGAAATAATTAGGGATGCGATATCATTAGGGATGAGCTTAGCCTAGGGCTGGGGTCTCCTTACCAAAGGAGGGCACCATGGTTGAGACTTCAGAGCAGCGGATGAGACAGCAGCAGTGGAAATGGATCAGTGACTTTACGTAGGGGCTTATATAGGATGTGAACTTACTTACATTTAGGGACGTGTGCAGAAGGAGTGGCTTCTTGGGAAGAGCAAGGGATGAAGAGCTGTAGGCCATGTAAATAATCAAAAGCGTTAGTAAGAGGCTCCTGGACCTACGCCAAGTGGCTGCTGCCTTCTCAAACCCTTCAGATCATCAGGGTAAAAGCTACCCAGGAACCTATTTAAGCTTTGACTCTGCTGAGTGTCTTTTTGAACACTGCCCAAGGGAAAACCACTTGGAAGATACTCCTTAACTCTTGCTTATCTGAGAGCAAACTACTCACCAAACGCCGGCTGTCTCTAGGCTCCCCATATTCCTCCACCCTGAAGTTTCAAGGGGTCCCTCTACTCCCCGTCTCACTCCACCTCCAGACCTGCACTGTCTATAAGTTTTCAGAGTCACACAGGGGAAATTGTGAAGTTGCAGCATAATCTAGAAAAAGAACAGAGGCTGCAAAACTGTGCCAGGGAGCACAACGACAAAAATAGGTGGTGGTAGGATGGACCTCTGGGATTCATAGAACAGATAGGAAGGCAGCATCTTTTTTTTTTGGTTTGTAGAGTGCCTTGTCCAAGAAAATGCTCCTGTGTGTCTCGCTATTATTTTGTTGTCACCACCACTGTGATTTGTGTGATGGGATTACATGTGGGGTATTAGTAGAGCATGCCCCTCCATTTTTCCGTTGGTTTCTTCCCTGTGTCATAATGAGAAGGGTGGGAGGGTGAAACAGGGATAAGGCAGAGGTATTAGAACTTTGTAAAAGTGCATTGTTAGTGTAAGAGTCTCTTCCTCCTCCCTCCTCTCTCTCTCAAAGTAATTTCTGATGCTCCCCCAAATCAAAACCATCACATAACACAATGCAAACAGAACACAGTCTTCGATTTTGAGAGGAATCTATCCACTTTTAATTCCTAGGGCTTCCATGAGGAAAACAGAGGTTTTTCCCGAAACGTGGTCTGTAGCACTTCCTGTTTTCCCCAAGGAGTTCCATGATGTTAGAACTTGAATAAGCTGACGTTTAACCATAGTGCTCTTAAAAAATCATTTAAAATCTCTTATTACCCAACTTTAGCCAGGCCAAACTGCCAATATTTCTGGCTTTTAAACTTTACCAAAGGAAAACCTTCCAGGTGCTCAGAGAAAGGAAAATTCAAGACGGTTGGTGGAGGGGAAAAGAATCAACAAATGGTAAAGGCCACACAGATACCAAATCAGAAAGCACTGATTCCTAAGCCAGGATTGAACTCGGGCCACCACTGCAGAACGGCACAGCCTTACCTACTGAGCTACAGCACTGAGCAGTTTCTGCTGCTTTTCCCAGAAGAAGCCTAGAACAGCCAGTTTTGAGCTTGCACAGGCTTTTAAGTGCTCAAGATAGTTTTTAGAGTTAACTGTGATATGAACCCCTAAATTCATGTTCCCTGGAAGGTAGAGCCAGGAGAAAGTACTGCCACATGGTTACAAGGTTAAGCTCCCAAGGACACCTTTCAACATGTGGTCTCTGGGCAAGACGAAGGAGCAGACAGTTGTCCTGAGTAACAGAAAAGAGAGAAAAGAGAAAGGAGAGAAAGGGAGAAAAGCATTGCCTGTGGCAGGGTAGGGAAGGCGAAGAACTCAGGGAGGCCAGAGAAAGACTCACCCATTGCAGCCACACTGAATCAAAAGTTTAGGCCGCCCCTTCTTGGTTGCAAAAGAATCTTTTCCAGCAGTCCTATCAGCTCTCAAGTTTCCCCCTTTGGGGAGAAGAAAAGTTCCCCATGTCCCATTGTCCCATGACCCTGTACATGCCTAATCCTGTCACCCACAGCCATCAGTAAAGAGTGCAAGGCAGATTAATCCAAAGACAATAGCACTTAACCTCCTGTGGTGCCAAACCTGTTCTTAGCACATACAGAGGGACTTTACTGAGAGGGGCCTCCAACCTCCTAAGTCTTAGGAAGGATTCTAACCTGCCTAAGATGGGCTTTGAATCCAAGTTCGGTCAAGCATCCTGCCTTTAATTAAGAGGGGCCTTTACTCATGTGTGATTATTTTTATTATGGTAGAAAGATCTTGGAGCTAGTAGTTCAGCAAAGTGAATAGAAGCCCTGAATTGGCATAGAGTGACTGGGCACTTACTCTATTATTTAGATTCATTGCAATCATTACAGATGCCCCCCAGAGCTATCACCAAAGCCTCCCTTTTCTCTATTCAAAAGAACATTTAGAACACACACATACACACACACACACACACACACACACAGAGGATCCCTCTGTCCTCTTTTATGTCATGACTAACTCAGTTCAAAGAGCACTTCCTTAGAAGCATTCACTCACTCACTCCCCAGATTCTGTCAAGGTTCCCTTTTATCAACTCCCATTTGAAACCTTTACTTTTCCTACATGTACTTTAAAAGAGACGGTATTTCAATAATTATCCTTTTAATGTCCATTTCATGTACTGCACTATAATAGAAATGTCTTGCCATACGCTCTGCATCTAGCACAGAGTCCTGCACAGAGGAGATACTCCATATTTATTGACTTCAACATCAATAGCCAAACGGAGGAACTGGGTGGAAGTAAACCTAATTCAATTAAATAAGATGGGTCAGGAAAGACCACATACTTGGGAATAAATCTAATAAAAGTGTACAGGATCTTAACACTAACAGTTACAAAACATTGCTGAAATAAACTGAGAGCTATTCCATGCTCATGGATTGGATTTCTTAATATCGTTAATAAGTAATTTTCCTTAAATTAGGTATAGATTTGTGCAGTCAAAATCAAAATCCGTAGCCAGGCATGGTGGCACGTGCCTGTAATCCCAGCTACTTGGGAGGCTGAGACAGGAGAATCGCTTGAACCCAGGAGGCGGAAGTTGCAGTGAGCCAAGGTAGCACCACTGTACTCCAGCCTGGGTGACAGAACAAGAAAAAATAAATAAATAAATTCCAACAGCTTTTTTCTTCCTGGAAGTTTACATGCTGATTCTTGTTATAGGACCTAGAAAAGCCAAAATATTTATTCTTATTTTTAATTTTAATATTTGTGGGTACATAGTAGGTATATATATTTACAGGGTATATGAAATGTTTTAATGCAAGCATGCAATGCATAATAATTATGTAAGTGGGGTTTCCATCCCCTCAAACATTTATCCTTTGTGTTACAAATAATCCAATTACACTTTTGGATATTTAAAAATGTAGAACTAAATTATCATTGACTATAGTCACCCTGCTGTGCTATCAAATACTAGATCTTATTCATTTATTCAATTTTTTTTACCCATTAACCACCCCTCCTACCCTCAATACACTTTCCCATTAACCACCACCCCCACCCATACCCTTTCCAGCCTCCTGTAACCATCCTTCTAATCTCTATCTCCATGAGTTCAATTGTTTTGATTTTTAGATCCCACAAATAAGTAAGAACAGGTGATGTTTGTCTATCTGTGTCTGGCTTATTTCACTTAGCTTGATTGCCAGTTCTATCCATGTTGCAAATGACAGGATCTCATTCCTTTTTATGACTAAATAGTACTCCATTGTGTGTAAGTACTCCATAGACACTTAGGTTGTTCCAAATTTTGGCTATTATGAACAGTGTAAAATTGTTACATCCATTTGCTGAATCAATCCCTTTAAATTATATAGTGACTTTTTTTGTCTCTTTTAATAGTTTTTGTCTATTTTTAAAACATAACTATATCCACTCCTGTTCTTTTTTTGGTTACCATTGTCATGGAATGTCTTTTTCCATCCCTTTATATACAGACTCAGTGTGCCTTTATAGGTAAAGTATGTTTCTTGTAGGCAACAGATTGTTGGGTCTTGATTTTGAACCCATTCAGCCACTCTGTGTCTTTCAGATGGAGAGTTTAGTCCATTTACATTCAATATTATTATCAATAAGTAAGGACTTACTTCTGTATTTTTGGGTCTTGCTCTGTTGCCCAGGCTGGAGTGCAATGGCATGAGCTCAGCTCACTGCAATCTCTGCCTCATGGGCTCAAGCAATCCCCACCTCAGCCTCCTGCCTAAGCCTCCCGAGTAGCTGGGACTACAGGAATGTGCCACCATGGCAGGCTAATTTTTGTACTTTTTTTGTAGAAATGTGGTTTTGCCATGTTGCTCAGGCTAGTCTTAAACTCTTGGGCTCCAGCAGTTCACGTGCCTCGACCTCTCAAACTGCTGGGATTACAGACGTGAACCACCGTATCTGGCTTAGGCATTTTTGTTTGTTTGTTTTATTTACTTTTTGAGATGGAATCTTGCTCTGTCACCAGGCTGGAGTGCAGTGGTGTGATCTCGCTCACTGCAACCTCTGCATCCTGGGTTCAAGTGATTCTCCCAAGTAGCTGGGACTACAGGCGCATGGCACCATGCCCAGCGAATTTTTGTATTTTTAGTAGAGACGGGGTTTCAACATGTTGGCCAGGCTGGTCTCAATTTCTTGACCTTGTGATCCACCTGCCTTGGCCTCCCAAAGTGCTGGGATTACAGGCCTGAGCCACTGCGCCTGGCTGGCATTTGTTTATTTGATGCTGCTACAGATTCCTCTGCAGATAGGAGGCAAATGTGCTGAAAGCCTTTCCAAGAAAGAATGAGTCAGATTCCAATCTGGGCCTTAGCCCCAGGATATTGTCCACAGAAATGTGGAGCACAATGATTACTCCTCTTTCTCACTTAGAGGATTTTCTGTAGAATCTATTTCTCTCCAGTCTTGCCCTATATTGATATATTTCTCAGGGCTGCTCTCCAGAGGGTAAAATGTGATATGCCAGAAGATCCATGGAAGCAGCCAGGAACCAGTTGCTAGGAGTTTGGAAAAAAACCTGGGAGCAGGCAGAGTGTCGCGGGAAGTCAGGGAACCCGAATGGAGGGCCCGGCTAAAGCCGCAGCAGCAGAACATAAATTGTGAAGATTTCATGGACATTTATTAGTTACCCAAATTAATACTTTTATAATTTCTTATCCCTGTATTTACTGCAATTTCTGAATAAAAATTGTGAAGGTTTCATGGACACTTATCACTTCCCCAATCAATACTCTTGTGATTTCCTATGTCTGT